ATAATCGATCAGTGACCTTATCGCACTGCAACGATCTCCCAATCGACTCGAAGCGAGTGTTCACGTTTAGGTCTCGTCACGTCTCTCTCGTCTCGACTCGTCGCCAGTTGCTGTTAATAATTGTTATATGCCCGTGTCATGGTGCCATGCCCTTCTGCTAGCCACTTTTAATCAGTCTGAGGCAATGCATAATAATCATCAGCATTATCATTGTCATTACGCCTGTTCCACGATTGCCAAACAGCACCATAAAGCAGCATACAAAATGCAAAATGCCAACTCTCAACTGGCAAATGCATATCCGGTCGCTGGCCAAGGAAGTACGAGTGTGAGACCCGCTCGGGAGGAGACTCGACTCAGTCATGAATCACTAACTAACTAACCAGACACAGGCACAGGCACAGCCACAGCCACAGTCACAGCCAAACAAAATGGGTTGCCTTATTGTTGCCTCGTTTGCTGCTGCTGCCGTTCTGAGGAGGATTCGAGCTCGGGACGCATTAATCGTTGGCCATTATGCAAGACACGCGCCCTGCAGCCAATTGCAATCCATATGCATAAGTAATATATATATATATATATATATATATATATATATAGAATGAGAGTGGAGAGGTGGCGAAAGAGAGGTGAGGCAAGTGAGAGCTGTAAAGAGGCGGGCCTGCAAGCTACCTAGCTAGGTGGCGACTATAGTCTGCCACACGACATTTGTTACATGGACCTCACCATTTAAGGGCAGCCAAACCAACTAAGTCAACGACGACGACGACGACGACGACGTCGACGTCAACGACAGCAAAAAGCGAAAGCGTTTCCAAGACGGTGTCTGTGGCGGACCTTGACGCGGGTTTTTCAACTTGGGCGTCAGCTGTACTTAGCCAATGTGTGCGTCAGCTGTACTTACACTTTACAAAATTAGGCAGTCATTGTTAATTTGCTAAATTCAAGTGTCATAAACTGTAAAAAGCTAATGCTGTTTATATAAAAACTTTTATTTGAGCTATAAAAAATTATATACCAACTTATAGTTGTTTTTTATTTCAAATATATTCACTGTAGCTACACTAAACAAAAAGTTGGCATACATAATGTGAACTGTTAAGCATAGGCATTAATTCAATATGAATTAAAATCATAAAAATACAAACCAAAAAATATTTATTGAAAATTTTTTTAAATTTATTTATTTTCAAATCATAAAAATAGAAATCAAAATATATTTTTCGAAAATATTATTCTTTTAATTTTATTTAATAAAACATTAACTTTGAAAATTTAAAAGAAAAAAAATATTTAAAATTAATAGTTAAATTTTTTTTTTTTTTTATTTAAAAATATGTTCTGTAATTTTCTGCTATCGAAATTTATAAAATCCATATTTAGAACTAATTTCTATATACTTCCCTCTTTATATATTATATATTTTCTAAACATATAATTTTGAATTCACAATTCACATTGAAATTTTCGCTCAGTGCATCTATCAATGTATATACTACAGAGATCCCTTTTCGGCGCACAGCAGGAAGTCTGTCCTCAAGTGGTTTTCTTTTTGTGTTCTTCGATGTTGGGGGGAAAAACCTTGACATCAAAGTGGGCAACAGCATAAATTGCCAGCCATGTGTGTTACACAAGAACGCGACCGCAGCAGAACAGCTGATGGACGTTGTAGGCGGCACAGATACACATATCTATACATCTATATATATAGTATATTGTATCTGTCAGATACAGCCGCAGCCGCAGCTAAAGATAAAGCTACATGACAGCAGGCAGCACAAAGTGGCTGCTAAATGCCGCTGCCTCAGTCAAAAAGCGAAAGTTTGGCAAAAAAAAAAAATAATACAAAATAAATATATTTCTATATATCAAATGAGCAGACTGTATGGTGGCAGCCGCCTCTGATATATGTTGTGGGCGTGGCACATGTGGGCCCAGGTTTAAACAAACAAGCAAAACCAAAATGAAATGGAAAATCAAATTAAATAACAACAACGAGACATCTAAAGAGATTTCACTAGACGAAGCTGAAATGCGCTTCCAGAGGATAAAAGAGATTTCAAGAGACAAGAACTAAAAGAAGTGTTTACGATGTGATCTTTTAACCGCAAATTATATTAGCTAAATAGTATATTAAATTGGACATTATTAAATGTTTTTTTTTTTTTTTTTTTTTTTTTTATGGGGGTTAACAGGTTATGAGACATTAATTTATATATAGCTACCCAAGGTTTGCATAAAGAAAACAAATTTCAGTATTTTGAAGAGATTTTATCTTTTATACATAAAATGCATTAATGACATGTTGCCTAAATGATATGATAGTCATTATAATAACATGTTTTTGCACACATTTTAAAAACATTAAAATACAAATTCAATAATTTTTATGTTTTCTAGATCAAGTTTTTTTTTTTTTTTTTTTATTGATTTTTGGATAAGCATATTGAATATATTTTCGGTGAACTATGCTCATGACGAGCAATAAAGAGATATAGATATTTTATATAAATAAATTTGGTATATATAAATGATAAACGTAATTTTTTATTTATATAATTTTTTTTTTTTAAGATGCTAATATATTATAGGTATTTATATATTTATAATTTTTCTCACACAAAAACATAATATATGTATGTACTTTTTGTTTTTTCATGCACCCGTATGGGTTACACATAGATATCACGCACCCATCAAAAGTTGTCAAAAAGTATAATAAATGACATTAATAACCAAGTTTTTTACATATCTCTAAAGACCATAAAAAACACCATTAATGATCGATGGTTTTCCATAAAACCTAGCAATTAATCTAAGATGATTTTAACACGTTTGAAACCTCTAGCTAAAGCCTTCATCCATACAAAGTTTCATTAACATCTGCCCTAGAGTTACCGAGTTCACATGAACAGCTAAATTATGCTCGCATCCCTATAAATAGCTCTGCTTATTGAGCTGCAAATTGCTTGCTAAAATCCAAATACCCATTGGATGTCAGTTAACAAAAGAGAGCAAATACACATTCGAACATGTTTCAAATATTGATATTGGCTTTGTCCCCTTGGGGAGAAGTGAAATAAAAGAAAACAAAATAATATAAATAATATATAAGCATTCCAGAGATTGTTCTTTACTTTTTTCTTTGTCCCCTTTTTGGCTTCACACAAATTGAATTAGAACTAGGAAAAAAGGCAAAAGTGAAAACGGCGCTTAAAGGTGTCGATAAGCTGCCTGCACTACAAAACTGGAGCGAAAGAGACGGAGAGAGAGAGAGACAAACTGCAATCGTATTGTTAATTGGAGCGTGCGATCTGTTATGCGGCAGGGCCTTTAAGTGCTTTGCGCCCATTTTTGGGCAATCATAATTCTACACAGAAACAACAACTAAAATATCAACAAATCTTGCTCGGAGCAGGCGAAAGTCGAGAGTCGCGAGTCGAACATTGAGGAAGTTGCGAGTGGGCTGCAGCGCGGCTATTTGACGGGGCATAGTAAAAGTGCGTAGGTAAAAGCAGCGCGACAAGAATCGCATAATTTGCCCATTTCGTCTCTGTCTCTCCACACTCCACACACACATATAATGATGATGAATGTGTAATCTTCATAATGATGATAGACGAACTGGCAGACGTAGAGTTTGCTTTCTCGCTGCTGCGATTGGCAGCACTTAAATGGGAACTGTTGTGGTATCTATCGATGTTGTGGATGCTGTTTGTAGTGATTTATATGCGATTTGTGTCAATACGTGTGTGTGTGTGTGCGTGAGTGTGTATTTCCAATACCGCCTGGAAATTCTTTCAATTCAAAAGGTCAAAGAAACAGCGTATCGTAGGTAGAAGGAGTGATGCATTAGCTATCTCGCTCGCACAGCCTAGCACAAATACTTTAGCCTTATCAGACATTGGAAATAGCTGTAGTTGTTGTTGTTGCTGCTGCTGTCGATTTGTATTTAAATGAAGCAACTTAACATGGACTCATACTCACACATACTCGCATTTTTATGTAAATTACATTAATGGGTATTAAAAGAATTTAAGTCGGGTGACGCGAGCGCGCGTTCATTGATAAGGCGCATTAAGCCGCACATAAGCCGAAATGTGACCACAAAAGTTGACAAAAGGCCACAACAGTTTGATGGCCATTAACAATTAACCGAATGTGTGCTTAAAGTGGCAGTGCTTCTTCAACTGTATTGAAATGAGAATCTATAGGAAGTGAAATGATTGCTAAACTGCACAATGATGTAGAGAGGGGAAGTGCAATGCATGTTAAGCGGCATAATGATGTAGAAAAGCCAAGTGGAGTGGCTGCTATACTTTAGGATGTGAACTGAAGTACTAATAAACTTTAACAGTCAATTAACAGCTGTGCAGCTATACTCAGATCTGTGAGTCTTGAACTTTTCATGCAATTCTTATTTATTCTTCAATTTATTATTGTGATTTGTGTGAAGTTGGAAAAACCGTTTCAATCGAAATGACAAATATGTTATTTATTGTGTTGCTCAAACTGTGTGAGATATCTACAGATAGCTCGACTTTAATAGTTTGCATGAGTGTATATTGTTTAAGTGACTGTCAAACTATTAAAATTAGTCTACTGTTGACTGTTAAAGCTCTTGTTTCTTGTTAATTAATGTGCCAAATTAACATATTTATTGCGCCTCTCATAATGGTCTATATCCAAACATTGCTCTCAAACTGTAGCTTGATCTCTTGTTTTGGACACACAACGCCCACGCAGTCGCTCTGCAACTGTTCAACACGTTGCTGACTAAGCGTTGCCGTATGACAACAACGGCAACAACATCACCAAAACAACGCCAATTACAACGCCCAAATTGCATTTAATTAATGAAAATGTATCGCAAAATAAAAGGAGCAACCCACACGCACACACACACACACATACATACGGCTATATATAAGACATATGTATACTGTATATATTGTATATCGCATATCCGCACTCTACTTTAACACCTTCGACAAACTTACCTCTCGATTGTTGTTGTTGTTGTTAATGTTGTTGTTGTTGTGATGATATTGCTGCTGACTGTTGCTAGCTGTGTTGTTGTTGTTACTGTTGTTGTGTGCTGCTGCTGCTGCCGTTGCTGTTGCTGTTGTATGATTGCCCGACGACATTCGCGATCCGGGCAGATCGCGCCACCTGAGCACCCCCATCACTGCCTGCCGCACCCAACGCCGTTCAGCGCCTTCGCTATAAAATGCCACCTTAACTGTGTTTGCCTTGTTGTTGCTGCTGCTGCAACTGTTGTTGTTGCTGCTGCTGCTGCTGCTGCTGCAGTTGTTGTTGTTGTAGCTTAGGCTTCAATTGCAACTGTTACACTTGCTGTTGGCATTGATTGTTGCTATTGCTGTTGCTGTGACTGAGCAATTGTTGTAGGTGTGCATTTACCAGCAACCGTTGTTGCCGTTGTTGTTGCTCTAGTTGCTGCTGTAGCTTTAATTTCCACTAGAATTCTTGTTGCTGCATGAAATCTTTGTGACTGTTTTGTGGGTGCTGTTGGTGTCTCATCTCCTTTGCATTAGCTGCAACTGTTGCTGCTGCGTTGGCTGCAATTGCTGATGTTGCGAATATTGCAATTATTGTTGCTGCTGCAATTGCTGCTGCTCTTATACCTTGCAAATCCGCTTATGTGACTCTATAAGCTCTTCTAGCAACAACTGTTGTAGCTGTTGCCTTTATTCTAATGTCTGCTGCAATTGCTACAATTATTGCTGCTGTTGCTGCTGCACAGATTCTGAACTGTGGGCGTGTGCTGTTGCTGTTGTAGGTGTCTATTCCTTGTTTGACAGCAATTGTTGCTGCTGTTATAATTAATATTGTTGCTGAATTGATTGCTGCTTGTGGGTGTCTAAGCCTTTTCTAGCAGCAATTGTTGCTGTTGTTGTTAATTGTTATAATTTTCAGCAAATGCTCTTTTGCTGTTGCTGCTGTCGCTTGCAACTGATGCAAATGATTATGAATGTTTTTGTTGCTGTGGTTGCTGTTGTTGTTGTTGTTATTATTTTGTGCCTTCTTTATTATTTTTTTTTGCGACTGCTTCGCACACACGTAGTTCGACTCGTTTGACCAGTTTTGTTGTTGTTGTTGTGTTGTTTTTTTTCTTTTTGGTTATTTTTGTTTTTGGTCAGTAACTGTCAAAGCGTAACGACTTTCCAAGCTCGCAGTTTGGCAAGCACTGCAGTTGCTATGCAAATAATTTCACTTAATTCAAGCACTTCCAAATCTATTCAAAATTTTGAGTTTACTTTTATTTTTGTGCGGCGAAATGCACTCTGCGCGAAAGAGATAGAAATACGCGGAGCGATAGAGAGACAGAAGTGCAGGACGCACACAAAATTTATTTTTATATTATTTGAAATTTCTTTTGCTTTTTGGTTCTCTTGTTGTTTTGGAGAAGTGAGCAACAGTTGAGGCGTTGCTGCAACTGCATTTGTTGTTTTAAAAATAACTCGCGTTTCTGTTTTTACTTGCCACTTTCCACTCTGTGTTTTGTTTTGTTTTCGAATTTGTAACGAACACAAAAACGAACAACGCGACGGGCAACATGCGCGTTGCTACTTTTTTCTATAATTTTGCTTGTGTTTAACTTGCGACTGGCGACGACAACCGACCGAAGACGTCTGCTAACAGCGACTCGCTTACAATTGCAGAGTTCTGCTATGGCCGGCTAACATAATGTTAAGCGGCGTTTTAGTGGCGCCTTAACAGACCAGCTGACAGCTCATTTGAGCATAACAGTGAGTTACAACTCGAAGTGTATGTTAACTTATCATAACGACAGCATTTAGCCACAGCGGCGTGCGTTAGAGTGAGACAAACGGTGTGCTGTGCCTGCGCGTGTGCCGCGCCAATATTTGAATTCAGAGTTTTTCTAGATCTTTAAATGAACTTGAAGAGAGCGAAATATGTTTGTATTTATTTATATTTACATTTATTGCAACGCACTTTATGTTATTTATTATAAAGGATTTGAATGAGTTCACATGTTTTTTTTTATCGATAAGACATTTGTAAGAAATGTGTGAAGCAAATGTTTCAAGTTCATATGTTTGTAAGAGCCAAAGCATTGTGATAAGACATTTTTCGTATTTTCGGGAGCAAATCGAACAGCTGACTGAGCCAAAAATACATATGTTTAGATGTGGACATATATATGTCAGAGAAAATAGTCGCACGCACTATAAGACAAACGGAATTTATGCACTAGACCCACGTGACCTTGGCATTCGAGCCATAAAGCTGACAGAAGCAGTGAGTCAACGAATCTTCAATAAATATTCAAGAAGAAGAGCATAAAACACAATATAACAATATAACATACAAAAGGCGAAAGAAACACGTTTCTATATAGCTGCAGCGGGTGGTTAATATAATTGTTATTAGTTTTTATTATTATTTGTTTATCAACGAAGGGGGCGTGGCCGTTTAAGTATATGTGTAAACTGCGAACTGGGGTCTGGCTTAAGACGAAGGCCCCCGGAGGCCTCAAAGGTTGGCCTAAAAAAGCAGAACAAGCTGCTGCTTCTGATGATGCTGACGATAATGATTATGATAACGATAATGTTAATGGTAATGATAATGATAATCAGCAGAGATTTTTCTCAGGCTAACAAATGAAATGAATATGAAATATGCATTCATGACCCGCATTAAAAGTCTACATTGAAATTCAGTTGGAAATTTTTAGCTGCAATGGATGAGTAACGGTTTTAATGTGAACTAAAGTGCAGAGAGTTCTTCTTGTTGCTGTCGTGAATACCCTGTAATAGTCGACCAGCTCACGTGTAGGGTCAATAAAAATGTATTACACAAAGAGAATTAAAAGAAACTCTTGCTAGATATATGAAGTTGTTTATATAGCTATTGCCATACTCTGTAAATATTAAGCAATTAATATGGGGCAGGAATTTTAATGTGGTTGATGCTTAAAATTTATATACAATGATTCCATTGTGATGGATTATGTTAGCTAATGAGTATTATTGCGTATCTATGAGTAGAGTTATATACTATAGCTGAATTTATAAAAGACATAGAATTACAGGGTATCTATCGACATCAATATCTACGTCTACTTATCAGATAGAAGGCAAAGGAGAATCGACTTCAGCTTTCTTTTATAAATGAACATATTACAGGGTAACCCTCAGTTACAGTTAAAGTTCAAAGCATTCACAGATTACCAGGGTTACCTCAATACGATTAGCAGGTAAAAAAAAATGAAGCTCGAAAAAATTACTAACATTAACCATATCATTTTAAAGTCTTCTTACAGACTTATTGTCTTTACAGGGTACCTTTAAATTAAGCACTGCCTAATATAGTCCGCTCTGCATTTGTTGTTGCTGCTTTTTATGTCTCCGGCAGACAGGCGGCAATCAACAACGAAACCAGCGAAGCAGCAACATGGTAAACAACAGAGGAAACCCCCAAAATGAGAAAAAGGGAAGCAGAAAAGTGGGAGAGACAGGGACAGGGGAAGGGGTTGTGGCAGGGTGCAGAGGCGTTCTGCTGTTGGCCCTGAAGGGGAAGACAACATCAACGTCAAAGACACGAAAATAAGAAATAAAGAGTTGCAGTTGTTAGACACAAGAAGAGGAAGACAAAGGAGCCAAAAGAGAAGAAAAATAGTTTTAAAGTTGCATTGTTTTATACAGGTGCAAAACAGGTGTGAGGGAGGAAGGTACGAAGAGAGAGGGAGGGCAGATGGAGAGAGTGGGGGCAAAAGGGAGTCAAATTAAAAAGTCACAAATGAACGAAGTTTCGAACGCTGGCCAGAAGAAGCTGCAGATAGGAAGTGAGAGAGAGAGAGGGGCAAAGAGAGAGAGAGAGAGAGATAGAGAGAGAGAGAGAGACCAGACATGCAACAAGCGGAAAATAATTATAAATTAGAAAACAGAAGTGAGGAAGAGGTTGAGAGACGGAAGAAAAGAATAGTTGACAGCTAAATCAAGATTATGTGCGAGAAAGAGAGCAAGAAAGATAGCGAGAGAGAGAGAGAGTGAGATAGGAACAAACTTAGATCATATGCAGAAGGTTTTTCATATCATTCCGCTGGCATCTGCACAGAGGGGAGGAGAAACGTGTGTGGGTTGCGCACGAGATAAACATCGCACATTTTGTGGCTTAGAAGCAACAGCGAGCATGTGTGTGTGTATGTTCGGGTGTGTGTGTATGCACTGTGGGAGTACGCTGACAGAGAGACTGATAGAGAGACAGACAGAACCAGCTACAACTGCGAAGAGGACGACGCATCGTTGCGGCTGACGACCAAGGCAATTAACAACTTCAACGTTCGTTGCAATTGCGCCTGGGAGTTGAAAACCAAAGCCCCCTAGTCCCCCTGTAGCCATCCCTCTGCTGCACCTCTTCAAATAAACTCGACAGCCATGTGCATAATAGCAAAAGTTGTGTGGGGCTGCTGTTGGCAGACAAATAGCAAACGGCTCATTGAAATAGCTAGAGAAAAGGTGTAGGCTCACAGGTGGGCTAGGGGGCAAGGGGTAGGAAGAGACGAAGGGGACAGCTTCTTCTAATGGCAACGGCAGCGTGAAAAATATGCAAGAAAAAAGCAAGCCGCAAAAACCAAAATAAAATGTTTAAAGATACATTTTCCTCTTAATAAGCAGAGAGGAAGGAAGAGGGAAAGGAGGAAGAAGGAAAGACTAGGGGGGAGTGAGCGTAGGCGGGCAGAATAACAAACAGTGGCATAAATTTTCGCGGCTTTGCGGACAACGCAAGCCCAAAGACAATGGCTAACGGCTGCGAGCGCAAAAAAAAAGATACAAAGATACAAATGTATCTCGGCGCTACGTATGCACATATAAAGTAGAGATACTTTTTGTTTTAGGCAAAGCGCTAGCTGGCTGTAGCCTTAATTAGCAGCAGGCCAAAGTAAATGGTAATGAAATGCAGAGAAAAGTGGGCGTGTCGGGCGGGAGGCTGCACGTGAGAGTGAGAGAGAGGGAGAGATGAAAGAAAAAACGGAAGGCGCAGCAAACAATGCGGCAACTGCTAAAGAGAAAGGAAACAGGACAAAGAGCGAGAGAGAGAGAGAGATGTGAGAGAGAGTAAAAGGTGACAAGCACAGTTTGAGCAGCGCTGGTCACTTGTCAATTGCTTTGCAACTGCAGCCTAAATTCAATTTGGCGTCTTGAGCAAACAGTTTGGCAAAGTGAGCAACAAAAGTGATGGCGGGGAGGGGCGAAGGGCCGTTGGCTTAGGGGTTGCCGCTGCAAGGACCTACTTCAAAATTCAACCTAGTTCTGGCTTAGCTCAGCTTCCAGACGGCGTGCACGTCGACCCGCATAAAAGTTTTTGAAAAGGCAAAGTCTTCGGGAAGAGCCTGGCCTGAGCACTGAGGTGGCGGCAATTGTGTGGCAGACACGAGTGCAAACACATGAAAGGCTCGAACAGGGGGCGGGAAGGGGCAGCCTGCGACTGGTGCAGCCGTTGAGCGTCTTTTGATGGAAAAGTTTGCAACAAAATTTCTTGCGAAAACTAAATTAAAATGTGAAAAGATGCGAAAGCAACCAAAGGAAGAGCGAGATGAATCGGAATGCTAAAAAGCGTTTGGGTTTGGGTTGAGCAAGGGTTTCGGTGGTGGTAAGTGTTCGTTGTGCCGTGTTGAGCAGTGTAAACAGCGGTTTAATTATTTAGTGAATTATGCTAAATTAGTGGGCAAATGAGTTGGCAAACAGCAACAAAAGCAGTTGACAGGGAATCATGTTGGGCAGCATAGAGAGTGAACACAAATTGAGTAAAAACTTTTTAATGTAATTCTCTTAAATTAAAAATTTTATTAGCACTGCAATTCAATTTAATTTAATTTGAAGAGACTTAACCAACCATAATTTTATTGTATGAGAAAAGAAATTCGAGAAATAAAAAACTCTTCTATATTAAGTACAGTCTTTTTGTAGTTTAAAAAAATATTTAGTTAAAATTAATTTGTTATTCATATACAAAATTTTATTTATTATTATTATTTTATTTCTTATTGTTTTTCATTTTAAATATTTTTATTTCAAGTTAATTTAATTTGACTTATATTTTTCTCATATTTATTTTTTTTTGAAGTAATCTTTATTTCTCTGATATTTATTTTATGTTTAAATTTGAATCTGGCGCTTATTGAGCACCAACGCGCCACCTTGCGTTGAAATAACGCGCTACTGAGCGCGTGTTTTCAACATTCAACGTCAGGTAGCGCCACTGCAAAGCGCACTCTACCGGCAACGCTGCGTACTAAACTGTACCCAGGGAACAGTTAACTTAATACCTACGCTAGCTGACGCTTCTTTGCAGCGACATCTAGCGTTAGCATATCAAACTATATAACATAAATTGAGCAAATAATGAATGCAGCGCTCTCTAGTGGCCGCTGTGTGCAACTATACCGAAACGGCAGCCAATCAAATGCGCCTTCGGCTTCGCCTTCGCGTTTGACTCCGAATGTCAAATTGCAAGAGGCGCAACGAATTTTGAATTTTTGCTGAATTAAACAAAACAAAAATAAGGAGACCAGGGACACACCTAGCAGCTGCTGCTGTCAGCTGAAAGTGTGTAATAAATAAACTAAAAAGTGATTGAAAGAATTGGCCAAAAACGAAAACGTGGAGCGTAATCCCTAG